AACCGAGTGCCAACGAAAGTGTGTAAGGAAGATATTCACGTGGCCGAGGAAATTCGATCGCAGTTCGCTGGTCCCGAGTGAACTCGGGCGAGAAAACGCTGACATGCTGCGTGAACAAATTAGCACAGCGCGGTGACGGTGCGTCGTGAAGGGGCTGGGCTCGTGAAACACAAAACTTAAAGAAGAGGATATGAAAGAACTAGGAAAGAGAAACGGTTTGATTCGGGAACCGCGTGATAAAGAGAAGTGTGGTTCCACATTTCCAGGGCGCTCTGACCCACAACACATGGACGTTACGTAAAAAAGTGAAGCCCGTATCGAGCAAAAAAAGAATTGATACAATAATAACAGTAATTATAATAACAATAACAACAATTAATAATAAAGAAAATGAAAAAAAAAAAGTTAATAATAGACAACAAATTTGTTGCGCATACCGTGTGCGCCACCTGCCCCCCAACTCACGCACACCTCACCGAGCGAACGACAAGAGACATTCAGAAATATTATTACGAGTTAAGAAAAAAAATTGTAAACAGAGAAACTCGACGTGTCATCCCTCATGGGTAATTTTTCTTTTTCTTTTTCTTTCTTTTCTTTTTCTTTTTCTTTTCTTTTTTTTTTTTTTGTAAAAATACTTTTTTCCCTCTGCAGATTAAATACTTTTTTGTCTTAGAATCGTGTCTCGATACGATCTCGCAATCCACCAATCGTTTTGCGCTCACGCATCCATGTGCTACAGGTCAGTACAGGCTAGTACTATATACAGCTATCAGATTTCACTGTTTCTTTTCTTTCGCGTCTCGACAAATACTATCAATCACCGACTTTACGACCGTTCAGTACATCACAAACATTGTGTTCCACAGTATTCCACGTACATAGTCATATACTGGTGTTCGTATATCACGCTGGACGAGTCGATTTCGAACAATATCATCCTAATTTTCCTGGTACATGCTCGGTGTTAGTTTCTCGAATCGGTTGTTTTTCTAAGCAAGTGTTTCGAGGTTAGTGGCAACTCGTATGCATACCAGAGCTGGGATCGAATCTAGTCTCACGTTTCGACAGTTTTCTTTGTTCGTTACGCAAACTTGTAAAATGGACGAATATTCAAAGCTTTCACGACCCTTCGAACTATTCGAACACGTCCCAGCTCCGATGCACACCCTATTCAAGCAAAGTTAAGACAAATACTTTTAATTAGACATAAATTCGCTCGAAAAAGCAACCAAAGTTACGTTTTCCTTTTGCGATATTAGAACAAAGATCGCACAGCATGATATGACTTTTTGCGGTGTATCGTGTTAAAATGCTGATGCTTACGATTAGGAGAAAAAGAAAGAAACGAATTACATACAAGAACTCGTGTGTTTCTGTGATTTTAATCGTAAAATCATCGTAAGGAAAAAGAAAACAAGTAATTGGACCGAATTAGCTACTCGATTCGTTAACTATCGTGCGACGTAAATGTGAAACACAAGTGACATGTGATTACCAGAGAAAAAGTGTGTCTCGGAGTGACTAGACAAACAAATTTCACATAAAACAAAGTGCACGGAAACAGATAGTCATATATAAACGTTCTAATAGCCAGCACCCTGCGGATTGATCAGCAAATAAAAAAGAAAAACGCAGTATTCTCAGTGTAACAGGTTTACATTTATTGTCTCGATCTCCCCTGGCTTAGGCATATATTAATAATGTAAAATGTTCATCGCCGTTCACTTGCGTGGCTTACAACGTGGGGCTTGTGTGTTAAAAGTAAATATCGGCATTTAAGAGTACCCATGGTGCGCTTCACGCACACGCACACACACACACACACCCACACCCACATATATATATATATATGTATATACTCGATCGAAGCACGCTCTCTCGGAATACTTGAAAATTAATTTTTCTCGTGACTGCAGCGCCACCGGGACGAGTCGCGTTACAAGTTACAAGTTGCAAGCAACGACAAAAAAGCTAATGCTCCTTACGATCGTCAACAAATCCTTCTCTTTGTTCGTACCCTCGAACATCGAACATCGAACCCCGAATCCCGATTCTTCTCGTACTCTGAGAGAAGTTACATAGATCCCATTATATATCTATATATTTATATATTTAGCGTGTTCTTTTTACTTCGAAACGACGTCATGGTCGACATCTCGCACCGATTATTGATCCGTAAGTCACTCTCACTCTCTCTCACTCTCTCGTGTATATGTATATGTCCATGTATATGTATGTATACGTGCGATGGTGTGTGTGTGTGTGTGTGTGTGTGTGTGTGTGTTTGTGTATGCGTGTACTTTCTTTTTCCCGATTAAAAGTATAACGCACTTATTGGCACGATGAATACTCCAGAACAACGGCAAGCATTCACTTTTCTACGACGGTTATTACAAATAATCGAAAACTAACAGTCTTCTTCATCAAATGCAAAGTCCGTTTTTACTCTTTGCACCCATCGACTCGGCAAAAGAACTGACAGAACATGTATGTATGTATATATATATATATATATGTATATCGTATATACGTACGTTCTTAGACGTCGAAAGCTTTCAACTGACTAAACCGTAGGCACGAAGAATCGCGAATTGCCCACGTTACTCTCTTAATTGCTCTCTCGAGGCATAGAGATATCTCTCGTATCGCTGCCCTTTACTCGTGATATCGTTTTCACGAGAATTCCTCTCGAATTATATCAAAGTTATAAATATTGTAGGAATATATTTGTAACACAGAGATGACAAGCGCGATTAGTTATGGACACGATCAACAGCGGTGCATAAATCGTCCGAAATAATAAAACTATGGAGGGTAAAGATAGGGAGGATTTCTTTGCCACGAACTCTGTTTGTATATTTGAAATTGGCCGAGCAGAATAATACGAGAAACGTGCTTTTAATGTTACAGGGGGAAAAAAGGAAAAAAGGTACGTAAAGTAAAGATGAAAGAACGTGGCAATCAGACGCGGGACATAGAGTATCAACATGAATGATTCTTGAGAGGATGCAACGTAACTCATAGATCATCCATACGTTTGTATAATCGATCTTGCCGGTGCTCTCAGAGCATGCACTCGCAATTGACGCTCCCTCTCCCTCGATCGATAGTTTAATAGCTTTAATTAATTTAAACACAACTAACAGCAGCACAGCATAGTCCGGTACTGACCTATAACCATTACGGACGGATGGATTCCGGGAGGTTCGCACGATATTTCACCGTTATCGGCCCGTATTCATTTTCTTTTCTCTTTGCTTTTCTTTTTCTTTTTTCATTGTCACACTCATTCGTTTAGGTTCAGTACTTACACCGTCTACGACTCTTATTCCATACAAAAATAATTACCGTTATATATATATATATATATAGCGTCTGTTGCTACGCGTACGTTATACATATAACACTTCATTTATAAGTCCAAGTACTTTGTGTTAAGTTAATCGCAGAACCATTCGCTTCGCAATACTCGACGCTATGATGTTAACGTATCGCTCGATGATCGATGATTCGATTTAACGCCCCTTTAATGCCCCTTTTTTCAGAGAAATGATCGAAGCGGCAACAAACTAATAAAAAAAAAAGGAACTTGTACGACCAACATTTTTCTTGTTTAAACTAATTTCTAATAGGAACTTGTTTGCAAAGTATCTCCAGTCAAAAATACGATACGCGACTCTATGCCTTCAAAGTGTTGCGCGTCATATTTTTCTTTTCAAATAATGGTTCAAATTGAAAATTTCCCTGGTAGCTTGTATCAAGAATGATCTCGATATGTACAGTTGAATAAGTCGGTCGATTTCGATCAAGAACCATCGTTTGCAGGTTAGCTTTCAAAATATATCGATCAAACATTCGTGTCGCTGGATTTGCAACAGCAAATCTTATCAGCGTACCGCGTTAATACATCAAGGTGCCTGCATTTTTCTCTAACAAGGCACTAGTTTAAAGATTACGCCTGTTAATTACAAGCTGTTACGACCAAACGAACACGCGAGATATTGCGATGTCAATGGCTGCGAATAGATGGTGCGCAAACTTGCATCAATCGATAGATAAATATGTGAGCAAACAATGGAGGGACTCGATCCAACTTCGGCTAATTTAATCACCTCATTACAGAGTTTTATGAATCGATCGAAAAGAATTCGATTCGGGCTATTTAGGCGAGTGTACGTACAGATATTGAACAAAGTAATATCAACAAAAATTGATCGTTCAAGTAAAACACGATCGGGAGGATTTCTCTCATCGGGAGATTCAAACTTTTTTCTTTCTTTCTTTCTTTCTTTCTTTCTTTCTTTCTTTCTTTCCAACAACTATTATACATCTTACCTGTCATGGACTTATAGGGTACCGTTTTTCTCTAATTTAATACTTCTCGCAGGCCTAACTCTATAATGGGATGAAAAATAAGCCCACGGGTGGTTAGCTGGTGATCCAGCGGGTGCAATTAAGAAAACGCAACAGGGTAAAACAAAAAATAAAAAACAGGAATAAAAAGAACAGAGACAAACGAGAAAATGAAAAAAGAATTATAAATCGATTAACAATTATGCGATTGATAATCACAGTAGTTCGTGTTTTTCAGGCACCTTTTCTTACAAGCTAATGTTCAAATAAATATAAATAATAGACGTTGGTGTTGTTAACACGAGTCGTTAAAAAAAAAAAAAAAAAAAAAGACCGTACTGTCGGTAATAAAGCGTATAGAAATAATCGTATTAAAAAAAAAAAAAGGAAAAAGAGAGAGAGAGAAAAGTAAAAAAAAAAGTTAAAGAAAAGGAGAAGAATAATTAATAATAAAATCCTAGTCTGCAACCTTGTGAGTATTTAGCAAAGCATATATATACAATATATGTATAGAGAGAAATATATGTGTATATATATATATATATATATATACATACATAATATATATTGTATACACACACATATATATATATATATATATATATACATATATATATATATACCATATATAAGTATATTATATATATATATATATACTTTTAAAATTCATATAGGTATGTTACGCGCGCGGGCGGACGCGCATGTAGTAATGACGATCGAGTATCATAGTTTCGTAATAACAGCGTAATGATCGCTTAAATGCTAATCTAACCGATTACGAGCACTTAATTAACGAACGTACATCGGCCGGTGCGTTGTCACGAACGTTCTTTTTTTTTTTTTCTTTTGCCTTCTTTCTGTTTAATCATTTTCTTTTGCTTTTTCTTTCGTTTTATATATCTTGCCACGAATGAGAATAACATCGTGGTTGAGCCATTCTGACGAAACGTTACGAACCGCGCATGTACCACGTGCCGATCGTACCGTGCGCATTGTAAAACGCAGCGTTTTGCGTATGATCCTTTCCACATTGCGTGATTAACCGGGAAATTAACGGCATCTACGAATCTCGAGGCTGGACTCCAAGGCGACTTGACTTTTTAAAAAAACTGTCGGGAATACAGAAGGCGCACGTGCGAGATTACTGGTTACTCTTTCAATTCAAAATCCTACTCACAAATCCGAAATAACAACGTAAAAGTAAAAAGGAATACCGTTTGTGCGCGCTCGTTAAAGAAATCGATTATATATATGTATTATGCTATTATTATACAGGGCGTCCAGTAAAGCGTAACGTATCGGAACAAAGAAGAGTACCATAGGTCAAAGACGAGCAGATTTTGTTAACTTTCAGTATGGTAGTTGATTATCGATCTGTTCCATTGTCGAACAAAATTTACGTTATTTTCTTATGCACCTCGTGCAATATAATTCGACGCGCGTTAAGATTGGTTTTCACGTCGAACGAGACCAGCGGATTTATACACAACTGATTGTGTTTTCCATTCGTATCATTTTTTTTCTTTTTCACTATTCTAAAAATACTCTTTAAAGAAGTTTACCGTACAAACGTGTAAAACATCTATGTATGATGTTCGCATCGTAACATAAAAATTGACCTTGACCCGACGAAAATCCCTTCATTGTCGTATACGGTACACCTTATGGAATATCTTGCATGTAACTGTATGAAAGTTGCTTCATACTTTTTCTTTGCATATAAAGTGGGTACAAAAGTCTCAAGGCATTTTCTAAAGAGTAGATCATTGAGTAGATAGAAAGTTACGTATGTACTATTTATTGCTTTGATAACAACTTTTAGGCACTATTGTTGTACCGTCTTTGTTCAGTTTCGAAATTAATAAATTTACACGTTATTAAGTATAAGCGGAAACTCAACAAAATACGAGTATACGTTATGCATATTTCTACGTAAAACGTTCCAAATGTCTTGCAATTTATATGCCCACTTCATATATGGATCGTTAGCCATACTGTTAGTATGATAATAGTTAGACACAATTTCAGCCAAACAGTTATAACGATATTAGATGCGAGTAGATAATTTAAATTCAATTTCCCAGGAAGCCTATACGATTAAATAGGACGTTTCGAATTCTTATAAAATATTGATATTTTAGATAAGCATTAACCAGGTACTTGGGGAAAGCCTGAGGATAAGCCCTCTAAATATAACGACACCCAAATTCTTTTGATGGAATAAATAAGTAATTGTCGCATTGACGAAAGCACCTGATCTGTTAATTGCCGAATAATTAGAAGAAAAAGTAAGTTATGACATGGACTTGTATGCTTTCCGATTCTTGTTCAGAATTAACATTTACATCACATTTTTGCGCCAAGAATAAATCGATTCTCTAAAAAAAGAAAAAAGAAGAAAAAAAAAAATGTGACACTCGAATTAGAAATCAATGTCATTTTATTTGTTTACGTCTAATTTCCGTACAACAAATTTCTTTTTAAAGGTTCATAAATGTTTCATTTAGAGATAAGAATTCATTTCGATCGGGCGTATAACAATTCGTAAAGATACCCTTTGTTTAGTCGCCGTCAAAGTGGTGTACGATTCTTTAATAATATTCAACTTGACCATCTTTTTTTGTTTTTGTTTTTGCAACAACATCAACAGTACAATAGGCACAATAGAAACGAAACGTATCGTTAAAATAATCGTTACACACAAGTCCATATTATTAACACGTCGAGTAACTATTATAGGGATTGTTACAGAACCTACTAATACTTACATTTTCTCCAGGACCTCCAAAACCACCCAGATTATAGTCACCCATTCCACTTCCACTGTCTTCTCGTGGTGTTCCAGGGCCACCGTTAGCTGGACTGTTTTTCATTCCGTCAAGACCATCACCATTTAAAACAGGACCCATTGTGTTCGGTCCCATTGGGCCCATTGGACCACCCTCTGGTCCGCCACTCATCGGAAAGTCCTGACACAATCAAATGCATTGCTATGTAAATAATATTAAAAATGTGTATTAGTAAATTGTGAAAAATAAATCAACAACGATTACGACCAGCATTGACAATTTAAACACGACAGTAAGACAGACACCTTTAACGTGCTACACCGTGTATATGAAGTAATAAACTTGATTGTCGCGTTAAAGGGTAACAAGGATAAGACGTACTTACACCAGGCATATTTCCTCCAGGTACAGGTTTCATCATGGTGTACATATTTTCGCCACCGCTATTACTACTATCTTGCGGACTGGGCATAATTGGTGTTCCTGGGCCTGGAGGACCCGTTGATCCCGGTGGTCCTCCATAATTACCTGGTGATGATGACGAATAATTCATTGGCTAAAAATAAACAAAAATATATTTAAAATGGTATGTATCGATACAAGTAGATATACGAGTTGGTCACAATTTTTAATAAAAAAAATCTTTCGCAGCCTCCTTATATTATACGAGATACCCTATTTTTGGGGAAACCCAATAATGTGAAACAAACTATGGTAAACTATATAAATGAATAATCACATGCATACCGTGGATGTGTTAGGTTGCCATTGTTGTCTACCGCCTGGTCCAGCCATACTCATCGGTGGCATTCCAGGACCTCCTGGACCTCCTGGACCTAAACTACTGTTAGGAGGTGGTCCTCTTATTCCAGGGCCGTAACTTCCTGGTCCCATCGGACCCATTCCAGGTCCTCTTGGAGGATTCATCCTTGGGTTCATAGGATTCATGCCTGGAGGAGCTGGTAATAAAAACAGCCTTTGATGCGTTTGTTTCGAAATATACGAACATTGATACTGTTCTAATTTCATGTTAATACTAAATGCTAATCGTGAATTTCTGGACTAACGGCAAATCATGTGAGTTTTAACATTTGTTTAGTATAGACCAAAGTATCCCAACTTTTTCTCGTTTTGAAACACTCAACATGTTATTCATGCTTTGCCGGTGTCGGGTATATGTATAGTAAAGCGAGTGGATGGCATGCTCAACTGGTCTTTGCATCTACTTAATTGATCAAGTAAGAAAAGCTCATGCAAAGGATGAACGCAGCGCTACCAAAGAACTTTTACAACTATTTCAGCTGCAAAATCGATAATGGAAAGAAAACGGTGCAATATATGCCAAATACGTAACAAACAAGACAATAACTCAGCTGGTACACGTTCAAGTTAAACAAATTACACTATTACAGCAATATCAGCGACCGACACGGTGAAAAACGATTCATACTGAAATTACATTGCTTCGAATTTCATACGTGAAATAAATAAATCTGATGCGTGTATACTGTTAAAGTGTAAATTATTCAGGAAAAAAAAAAAAATTTTTTTTTTCTCATAAACGAAGCTGAACACATGTTTCAGTATATTAAATTGCGATTGGCATACTGGGTGCAAGATCGGATGAGCAAGTATTTTACATAGAAACGAAGCTAGTGCGATTATTCGTGAAAGTGAAAACAAACATTTTTCAAAACGAGCAGGAGAAAAATTAAAAGTTAGGTTTGACTAAGTCATGTGAGTGTGATTTGGTTGCTGGGTTGCTTCCTACCTTGCCACCCTACAAATTCTCCAGCTTCGCCTGAGGAACACAAGAGCACACATTAGTACGGCAGGTAGGTAAGGTCAGGTTGATGGCGGTAAGGTCTAGTTACTTTGCGGTCGCATAGTCAATATAGATGTAAATACATTTTAACTGTGAAAATATGTTATTACAGTATATATCGACAAATCAAATCTCACATACAAATACTGGTTTTAAATCCGACGTCTATGTTTTCATTGTCAGAAACCATACCGACATTAGATTTTCTATTGACATGCTTATCTGTGCAACACAATGAAATCATGAATATTTAGGACAATACTAATACATACTAAATATCTCCATTTCTCGTACTATATTCAATGCTTTCTAAGAAGGATTTAAAAAACGTCGAACAATACCTCTGAAAGCAAAGCACTCTAATTAAACAGTATCGTAAAAATTACAATAGTATTTCCGATGTAGAAACATACTCTTTATCGATTTATTGACATTTTAGTTGAGTTTACTTTGAAAAAATAACAAGAATATCTTATCTCTGTTCATGTATTGAATTATGTAAAAGTATGGAATATTAATTATACTCGATTGCTCCATTTAAAAACTACACCACTGCATGTAACTAGACAATTCAAAAACCAATCCACTCCACATCACAGCAATCCAATCCACTTTTAATAATTACTTATTTATTTATTGCTGTGTGGTTTTTGGTATGCATGCGTCTATGCCATTCTCCTCTCGCAATTATTGTCAATGCCAGAAAAAAAAAAAAAAAAAAAAAAAAAAAATCAATGTGGATCTAGCATATAAATGAGCTCTTACCTTGCCTAGTGGGATCCATACTATTTGGCATCATTGGTTGTCCCGGTGGCTAAACAAAAACAACACCATATAAACAACTGTCCTGAAGCCATATCTATCGCAACGCATACATCGGTGTTTCTCAAACTGTAAACTGAAAACATTTTTAATGGACTCTTATTTGGGGAACTTTTCAAATCTCAGTTTCAGAAACACTGACGCACGTATCAGTTGAAAGAAACATACGAAACATGATAATTATACATACCCCATTGAAATCATTTCCCATTTGTGGCATACGTACTCCAGGTCTTGGTCCAGGAGGGTATCGCGGACCCATGAACTGTAACAATAATTTAGAAATTTATACGTTAAGCAAATGACGAGTCGAAGGTCCATTGTGTAAGTAAAACGCACAATTACGACTCACAACTATTGTACATCGCAAAACTGGCACACCAGGCAGTCGCAATAAGCAATTAATCGCATGTTAGGCCATACGATATCGATAATTCCATCGAGAATCATCACAGCGTACTTTAAGTATCCGTGATATATTAATATGAGAGTAGGATTACAAACAATAATGGTCCATGTTTAGCAGAAGACACGTTAAAGTGAATCGAAATATGATGTACATTTATAGCAAATCTTACCTTAAAATTAAGCATTTATATGACACAATATTGCAACATTCTTACCTTGTTTTCAATTTTCTTTTTTAAACAACACTACTACCATTGTGCTCTTATAACAACTACTTATGCATGATAATTTTAATATTTTATGCACGCTAAATCGTAGAAAAGTATCGTTTTACTGTTAAATATCGTTAGTGTATCGTGTATCCATAAAATTATAAAGACATAAATTTGTGCTTAAGAAACTACCATTTAACGTGTCTATTGAAGCTTCTTTCAACGAGTTCTATTTGGGTGTTTCGTTGTTTTCTTTTTCTTAAGAAAAAAAAAAGTGAGTGAGTGAGTGAGTGAGAGAGAGAGAGAGAGAGAGAGAGAGAGAGAGAAAAAACAAGCTGACAGTTGCAGAGTAGACGTAACTTTGATAGGAAAAGGAAGCAACTTCGAGCAAACAGTCATAGGTACACAATGATATGGTGTAATGAAAGTGGATCGAGTGATTCTCCATGAGTGACAGTGTACGTGTCGAATGAGGCTTACCTGAGTGGACATCATCTGCGAGTGTGGGGGCGGGGGTGGCTGGGGGTGCTGGGGGGATGGCTGTGATGAGGGGTGTGTGGGCGGAGATGGTCGCATTGTCGAGTTGTTCTGCAACAAGCAACGCAAACGACAGACATGTAGCAACACTGCGATCCAGGCAACAGCTAGACTAGAAGGCTTGGGTATATGATTGTGTTAATACTATGTCGGTCGGCACCTTAAAAATCTAAAAGTTATAATTACGAAAATGAATCATATAATGTTACAAGTAAGTTTTTAATCCAACAAAATTTATGCAACTTTCTTTAAACGATACTACCACAACCTATACAGTCTATACAGGTTGTCGCAGGTACAATCTTTATAATTGAAAATAATATTAGAATCTGCTCACTGTAAACATTAGTTTTGAAAATTTCGACTTGGTTGTAAGGTTCCCACTTAAGTGGATTTTTACATTAAACATATTTTAAAAAATGTGACTTTAGCTGATATTCGTCACCTTTACAATATAGAATAATTATGTTTATAAGTAATGTTACATCTGTTCCCGAATGTTCCATTTATAAAATATTAAAATATAATCAAAGATAAGATCTGAATATCATTTCGAATAATAGTACATGCTTGCATGTGTAAGACTCAAATTAGTAACATTTATTGTATATCTATTAATAAAAAAATATGGAACTATCAGAGTAGTTAAAAGAAAAATAGCAAACACATTTTGCGAATATGTGTGAATAAATAGTACGATTCAGAAGACTATCGTAAAGATCTTGCATGAAAATTAAATGAGCACATGGTAGGAAACTATTGATTTGTGGATACCTACTGTACAAAAGTATTAGAACTAAAACTATTTTCTATCATCTATACATATCTTTCCTGGTATATATTCCGAAACCTGATTTATGCAGAGAGGAGATCAGAGAGTGAAAATGGTATAGGAACGCACATACAAGTGTTAGATACGTAGCAGAGAGAAAATAAGTACATAGATACAGTGTAGACAAGCATGGCATGAGAATCTTATTTAAACATACACTTGTTTCAAAACTAATATATATTTGAAATGCTGTATATCGTACAATTTACATATATTAAATGAACGTAATTGTGCGTGAGAGTATTATGTTACACGTTTTCTTAGCTCATGCGAAAATATTTGTAGTAGTAACGAATAATAACGATATATGGTAGATCAATTTTAATCTCCGATAAAATCTTTGCATATGAAATAACTATCGAATAAAAAATAATTCCATTTACTATGATAAAGTGTTATTTAAATGATCAATTTAATATTACAAGTACAGATTCATTTTTATTACTCAGAGAGTATTTATTAACGATACGCAGATAGTATGTAAAATATTATTAATCATTATTGTCCTTATTTTTATGTAATTTAATTTTTGGTTATTTAAAATGTATCGTGTTAGGTGTAAAACATTTAAGAAAATATTATCAGCTTTGAATCAAGTGTACAGTTATAATGAACGAGAATTGTAACTAGGCATAACAATGATAACAGATATTTAAGTATTTATACATATTTATGTATATACATATAAGTACTAATGAAATATGCTATATACAGTCAACATGTTCGATTCCTTCATTCCTCTTTCTTTCAGTTTTATAATTATGAAAATTATATAATAATTCATCCTAAGGAATAAATTGTAAACCATACATTGTCATACATCAGGGTAAAAATTTACGTAAACGAAATTTAAATATATTTAAGGCAACTTTGATATATGTAACTCTATTTCTCTTTCAATCATTCATTCGTTTTCTTGCTCTCCTCTTCCTGTATACACATACACAGATATGTATACAAACACCTACTACATACACTTTAAAGAATTTGATGGTTTATGTATAGTTCAATAATTATTGACACGCGAAACATACATTTTAATTTTAAAGAAAGATTTAGTAATATAATCAAAAAATTTAAGGGTACATTAATTCCCTAAGCATAAATTATTTTTTTGAAACCACCTAAATAACGTAATAATGTCATCTATATAGAAATATATACAAAAACTTACTGGAAAGAATGCAGAGGGCATTGGACCACCAGGCATGCCATCGTTTGGTGGCATTTGTCCTATGGGAGAAGGCGCCGGACCAGCATTCTGCAATTATATTACAGTTATTTTGATTTTGCGGCATAACTTAAATCTAACTAGTTAATTAATGCAATCTAACTTACATGAGCAATGCCATTGACTCCATAACCGCTGTTCACAAAGCCCTGAGGGTCACAAAAAAGTTTGTACAATAATCATTATATATATTATGTTATACAATAATATAAATGTATACACTAACATAGTCATGGAAAGCTTTGGCCTCGCTGCTGTGTTCGCAAGAATCTCGTCGCTCTGGTGCTGCAGAATATAGATCCCAGAATACACTAAAACATTTACAATATTTTAGCCTGGAAATTTGCTACAAAATAAAAATGTACTTCATGTAATATAGTAGTCTATGCTTACCACCACCAAGAGTGTAAAAATCCAGGTGGTTCCCCGAGAGTGATATTCTTTTCCCATCGTATCTGTGTGACAAAATATGATACAATTATAATAATGTTTAATTGTTTTTTCGATAGTTCTATTAAGCTTATAGATCAAGTCAAAATGATTACCTCTGATAAGAATGTCTGTGCTGCTTTTTGTGCGCCAATATGCAATAAATACTCGTACACGTACAAGGCTAATCTGAAACATTGCGAATGGAAACATTACGATTACAAGAAAGATATATACGCTTAAAAAAATTAATAGTTTGCGTGCTGCTTACGTTCGATCAATTATAGTAGAATAACAGTTAAAAATCTTGCATGTATAAAATTATACTAATGTCTAAATTTTACATTGAATAAAATTGCAATGTTCGCGAAATGTACGATTACAAAAACTAAAAAAGAAAGTAAGGGATCTGCATATATTGTCGATTCCTATTGGAACGAACGAGGCTTTCCAATGCACGTTACGTCGCGTAAGCAAAACAGTGCTGCCGTATGAAGTGTCATCGTACTAATATTTTGCGTATGCCACTTCTCGGTTTGCAAACGATAAAAACATGGCGTCCAATCGGCCTGGCTGGCGAGACAAGTAACTCTACTAGTGAGTCATAGCATACAGTTTACTCAAAATTTACGAGAAGGCATATTGCGGTAAGACAGGGATCAGGTAAATAATTCGATTCGCGAATGTCTCTTGGGAACAGCCGTGAAAGATGGACCATTTCGAACCGGTTCTTCGAAAATCATTCGTAACTAGATCGAGCATAATCTCGAATCATTCAGAATAACACAAAATCTCGCAACGATGCGTATTAAACGTTCTCGATGCGATTCAGATTAACATTGGAAGCCAGAGCTGACAAACTTGACGAATATTGTAATCAGTAATCCGATTCTTCGGTTTCGGACTCGACGGATATATGTACGCACGCTCCGTATAAAGAAAAAAAAAATGGAGTCACTGGTCGATCAATCGGCAAATAAATTTTTGTTCTCTTGGCATTTCTGACACAACGTTACACGTTTGGATCGAAACGATACGTACTTTTCTCTCGCTTGACTGTCCGAGGGTACCGTGGCCCCCTTCCCCTTCGCGTACATCCTCGAAGACTGTCAATTTTTCCAGTGTAAACAGAACCACCGTATCGTCCCAGCCAGCAATGTCCGACACCACCGCGAATCCCGCACGGGAACGGTGAACAAGGAAGAACCCAAACGTACCCGTCGACTTTTTTGTTTTTTGTTCTTTTTTTATTTTATTTTTTCTTTTTGTTTCTCTCGGTCTCCGAAGGAACGATGTAGAAAAACGTTCGCGCGCGCACACACACACATACACACACACGCGCGCGTACACAAACAAACACACGCACAACACGCGCGCGCGCGCGCGCACTCGTTCAACGTAAAAGAAGCGACAAAGTAAAGAAACGAGATCGTTTTAACTTTCGGTCGCACACACGTCACGAACACGTCGTGCCACAGCCGCGGCCAGCAGCCTATACTAGATTAACTAGATACAGTATTCCGCATCATGGCTCGGCGAATTGCGGACGCATGACCGCGGAACGAACGCGCGTCGTCATCGTTTGCAGACTTTGCGCTCTTCTTTCTCTCCCGCCCCCCGGTACGATAGCTCACTTTGCCGTATTTTGTTCTCCTTTTCTTTTTGTCGAGTTCTTTCACTGTTTAATCACAAACCCGGCAATAACGCCTCACGTCTTGTTTCAATTGGTCCGTAAACGACGGCGCGTCCTCTCACCGAAGTTGCGCTCGGTCACTTTACTCTATTCGCTCTCTTTCGGCTCCGTTCGCCGCTCACCTTACCTCACCGCACCCCGCACCTCACCGTACAGCCCCTCACCACACCTCACCACGCCCCCTCCGTCCCGCCTCACTTCTATAAAGTACAGGCAGGCAGACAGACAGACAGACGGACACACACTCGCGTTTCACCTCGTCGTTGTACAGTTCGTTCCGTAAAGTTCGCTTCGACGAGATACCGATTCCAAAAATCCTCGATTACGCGTTATGCCGCCGGTTTGATACGGGCCCTCCTCTCTGCGGCCCTTTCTACTTTCCGTGTTTTTCTATCGTAGCTACCTATCCGGTAGTGAACGAAGACGAGGCGCGGGTATCGTTTTTACACACGCTCTCGTGCGCGCGCGATACAAGTGAACTTATTTTCGTGTAAACACGAACGTATCTCGAAAGTGTGCACGCCGTATGCCGTGATACGCAAGGTACTCGACACACACACACACACACACACACACGCGCGCGCGCGCAGCTACACGAGACCACCGACTATTTCTTTCCCACTCTTGCCTCGTTCCCACTTCGTCCATGTCTACGTACGCTTGCGGGATCTGCGCGCGCAGCTCTTGCTTTTCACGACAGGGCCGTACGGTGGGGTAGCTGTCTAAGGTATCTCGGCGCCTGTAATAATACCTCTCTGATTTCTTTATCAACGAATGTAATAAGCACGATTTAGTAGTAAATATACATCGAGTAATCGAGTATTGCTACTTTGCGTATACTGTAAGCATTTTAAACCCAAATGTAACATTTAAATATTATTCTATAAAAATATATTCGATATTTTTGTAATAATTATCATGATTCCGAAATCGTACGAAATTTCTTAAGCTGTAGCAGTAAGATCGTAAACGATCATCGTTTTTTTTAATAAATAAATCTGATATTCTGCAACGAAGCACGCGTATTAAAAATATGATCGACGCCCTTAAAATGTGCATTACGATTTCAAAATTGAACCACCCATTCTTTTTGTATTTCTCAATGTTTCGAAATTTCTTTTTCGTTAATCTCAATGCAGAATCCTACATGTATTTTTGTACTATTAATCGAAGCCTTGTACGTGGGGCATACATTATTAGTGGAAAGTGTTTACGCACGTATCCCTTTTATTACTGTGCGTGAAACGATAATAGCAAAAGCACCTATCGATGTTACGTTCCTGATTGAAACTCTACGTGCTATTGGATGCCGATCGCTGCCACGGAGAGGTACATCTGTATACATATACGAAGCACGCATACGTTATACAAGCTATCGGCGCATGTACACCAATAGCAGGGTCTATCCGAACACGGCCGAACACCACCGAACATTGCCGATGCAAAATAGCGACAATTGACTGAGCGTCGAGGGGTCGGGCAGAAAAGAGACAAGCCATTCCTTTGGGTGTACAGCTTCCCCTTTCTCAGTTTTGTCATGAAATTAACGTATGACTCCTCATTTTGCAAATCGATGCAGAATCGGAGATAATTTCGAAACGTTGCGTTTCACGGAGACAGAGAAATAGCAATTGAAATTGTACAACTAACGAACACAATCGCGATCAAATATCGTATAATAAATAATCTGTGGTTCTGAACTATCGATCGAAATTATTAAGTAATTTAGATTTTACTTGCTAAATTTTTGATCACGTTGAGCGAGCACAAATAGCGTCTGGACATATGAAATGCAGCATGGATAACAATGAGAAGAAACTGTTGAGCTAAAGATTTGGTTTTCATTGCTCTAACGCTCTTCAACTTTTCATATTATCGATAATCCAAGTTTCCTAACGCGTATAGACGTATAATTAGATACTTGTACACGCTTCCCGTTCATTGTACAGTACATCTTATGACGCGTAACATTTCGATTTACAATTTACCCTACAGAGCGTCATTTTCGTAAACAATGTCATGATACGTAATTGCTTAAAATATTGATTATCGTGCTCGTATTATCATTATTATCGTTCCCATGTTCGAAACTAGCTTGGCGTGAATTTGTGGGGAGGTGATTGGTGGTGGGTGGTGGGTGGTGGGTGGTGGGTGGTGGGGGTAAAGAGAACCATTACGTTAAAAACAACAAATTAATTAAATTTGAAAATAAAGTAACGATATATATTTTATCGTATTTATTTAGTTGCGCAAATATCAATGGATGGCCCAGGGACAATTACATGGGACGAATATCTCGAAAATGCTGAAATCTTTTTGCAAATGTCGGATAGGATCTCTGATGGATGGGAATTTCGAGGTGACAAGGTGAATGAAATTCTCTATTTGCTTGAAATATCCAGGATGGTTGTAATCGTATATCGTTACGTATAATGAAATTTAAAACGATTATATTGGAAATGTTAAATAGGATGTGCCAGGGGGAGCGTATATCGTTCGACGAAAGAAACATTTTCTTCCTGCCGATAACGATTTAAATTATTGTTCCGTACACAAAAATAACAATGTCGACGACGATTTAAAGTTCGAGTTACAACAGGACCCATTCGAAGGGTCCTCTGCAATCGAGAAACCATTGGTCAAGGAACATCACATATTATGGTCGATGAGCTACAGCGTTCCCGTGTTGTATTTCAATGGATGGAAGTCAGGTGAGCGTACATACGTCGGACAAATTTTTAATTGGAAAGACCTTCCAGATAACGATTATCTCCGCCTTGTTTCGTATTCCTCGTGATAGCAATCCGTTTTCAGCGATATTTCGTTCAAGTCGTTCATTTTACAACGTCTAATCATCAAAATATGAAACTTGTATTACAATCGCTCTCTGATCACCACTAGACCTTAATCTGGTATGTACCACCCGTTGGAAGTGGCAGGCGACATAATGCTGATTGTTCCTTCGATTGTAGCCCATCTTGAACTAGGCTAAGCACAGCGAGCAAAGGGAACAAGAGTGTCTAAAGGGGAAAGACCCGAGAAACAATGGAAATGTACGTTTTATGAGGATTCTTGCGTTCGAACACTCTCCCCCAATTGTAGTAAATAGATCTCGCTACCGACAATTTCTACCAACTTTATTGCTTTATTGCAAATTTGATCGTTGCCGCGTTATTGATTATGTATCTCTATGAAAGGCGTATAGTTCGATTGTATCCAGAAATGTAGAAAGGGTGAATGCACCTAAAAATTAACAGTGATAATAAGAATGGCTGACAATTTCAAGTAGTTTTCGCGACACTTTATTAGTTGATGGAAACGGTGCGTTAAGGTTAGAAGTTGTCACTGAATTCGTGATTTCAGTTTATTTACCTACGTGGCTGCGTTTAGTATGCGATCATAGCGCCGATTTGCTAGTGGTCGATTCAGGAAACATTTCGGCTTCTCGAAGGGAACTTGGCTCACTACAGAAATTTTGGGACTCTGTATACGACTGTTTTGAAAATTGATCGCGGAGATATCGGTAGCTCGAAACGTTCTACTTGGAGATTATCGCTCGACAAGCTTCATTTAACTTTACACATAAATATAAATTATTTCAATTGTTCAAAGATGGATATTCGTAGCAGGAGGGTGTAATTGGTTCTTTGTAGCTCCGTCTGAGTGCGCCACTATTCCCGCGTACCTCGATTCAGAATCGCACTTTCAGTCGAACATAAAAGTTGCGATTTTTCCAACGGTGAAAATCTTGGCGATATTACGTTCCTTTTTCGAGATGTTCTTTGAAATAAAAATTTGTCAATAGATTTCTACTAGAGATTGAAATAGTCGGGTCTTTATCGATATTTATAGATTTCCCTGGCATCAACCCAATAACTGTCGAAGAGGCTCAATCGTTTGTTTACGGTACACCGTTAAATTACATGGAATTATCGCAATCGATACATCCCATATTAGGCACACCATTTTTACATTTGCATCCCTGTATGTCTCACGAGCTGTTAAAAATAACATGTAAAAGGTACGTGAACCGATAAAAGAATTGAATTATAGGTTATAACTGAATTTTTCTTCCTGACTTTAGCAAAAATAAACTGGTCAGTTGGTTGAGTACTGTCGGCCCTGGTGCACTTGGTCTAAAACTACAACCCGAGTATTGTGAACTGACTTTGTAAGATTGTAGATTTCAACGAGATTCCTTCACGTGTAAGACATTTGATAGTTTAATAAAAATATATGTTGAAAACTATCGTTCGCAATTACTGGATAGAATGTCGATTTATGTTTCCTGTATTTTCTCAATTTCGATGGCGCCCTGAACAATGGAATCGTCAGGATTTACCGCCTCTGCGCAGGAGTCGTTGGTCGTCGATTGGCCGAGGCTCGTATCGAAGTAACGGAACGGAATTGGCGTTCGCGCAATTTGCTCCATCGCCTCGACCAATCGCACTGCGCGGCTCATGGAGTTCGTTCGTTTCGGCCCTTTGACACCTTTCCCCACCACCCGCGCGCTTTTCGAACGCTTAGCTGAAATGACACGCATTCGAAGGTGGCACAGTCCCGCGACTGTCATCGCAGGGTATACACGAAAGCGCGATACGAGTGAATCGCCGTGTTTACACATCGCTGCTGTTCTTGTTGCTCGAGCCAAAACGAGCCTGTTACAATTTAGTAGCTAAACATCTGCCAATCGTACGTTTTTGTGTACGCGTTCGTCTCGAGCGGAATCGGTACGTACTTATTGTGCACGCGAAGTGTTTTCCAAATACAAAAAGAAAGAAAGAAAGAAAGAAAGAAAGAAAGAAAGAAAGAAAGAAAGAAAGAAAAAGTAGAGGGTCTTGAGCGAGGTTGGTCGAGGTAAGAATTTCAGATTACTTGATGAATCAAGAGATCCATGTATACGAACGGGATCCTTTCAATTAAGACTAACTGCATTTTATTCTTGGGACTATAAAGCATCGTTTACGCACCACGAAATTCTTTTTCTCTTTTTAAGTTTGAAAGTGAGTCAAGTGCCCTTGAGTGGAGTATCGTCAGAGTGTAGGGGATATATAAAAAAATCCATCGTTACTTTTGTCCCCGCTATTTATTATTTTCGTTTCTCGATGATATTGCATCGTTGGAGAGGTAATGTTAGCAAACAGACGGCCATATTTGTAGTCGAATAAGTTATTTTATTTTATTTTATTTTATTTTATTACAGTATTTTTTTCTCTCTTTTACCAATGTATATTTTCATTCGTAGGGGGTTTCCAATGTCATTTGGCTAGAGTTGCCACAATAGGACCGAGAGATATTAATTTTCGGTTATCTTTGACACGCTGCTGTTGAGAAATACATTTGTTGGCAAAGCCGAGACATAAAACACGTGAAATATTAGATTGTAGCCTATTGAAATTCGCGCGTTCTTGCCGCTCATTTACTTTATCCTGCACCAGAGACAAATTTTTCTGGTAATTTTGTTAATTTATTTATTTCTCTTGTTTTCATTGGCGTGCTATAAATAATAACAATAATATTCTACATGGGTGGAATTTTTCTTTCGAATCTACTACTCGTGCCCAGTTTGTAGAATCGACGAAACTTTTTTAATAAATTTTACAATTCAAAAATATTTTTCATTAGCCCTCGTTTCATCAACATGAAATCAAATTCTATTTCCTACCTAGAGTTGGTCCTTGGTGTTCGTTAATAACGCGCAATAGACTCTTTTTAGTCTCGCGAAATGTACGATTACGATTACGAGCACAAGCATGAAATTGTTGACAAGATCCGTGTAAAATTGAAGATTATGGCGATTCATAATAGAGGTACGTTGCGATTAGGTACAATTGGTTAAATTTTGTATCTGGTGTTCTGGTGTTCCGTTAACAGACTATGTAGTAGTTGTTGGAAAAGAATTTCAAAACTATTTCACCGATGATAAAGAACGAGGTAACGAGGAATTTCTTATAAATTTTGGTTATTTATCGCAGATATAAACGTTTAAGAAAATCGGTTATCATAGTAAAAAAAGTGTTCGAAGAAGGAAATCGATCGTAACTAAAAGAGAAACGGACGTTTAGTTTAGCGCGCACGCGCAGAGACTAGTGCGGCTGGCGATTCCAGAGCGCGAAAATTCAGCTTGTTGACGTTGACGTTGACGTTGACGTTGACGTTGACGTTGACGTTGACGTTGAGAAATAAAGAGTTGAAAATCGTATATGTTATTCTCTGATTTATCAACGGTGAAAGTAGCTTCCTATTCCTATCTTGGAAAGTTGCATTCGTTAATCGAGTTCCTTCGAGCTCGATATGAAATCTGTTGGTCATGTAGGGCAAGCAATTTACCGATATAATTACATGTAACGAGCGAAGGGTAGCATGGTCTCGTTTAGTTAATCGTAGTAACAAAATTAGCCCATTTACCTAATTAATATAACACAACGAAGCATCAGATCGGTTCGGTTTCTATACGTAGAAATGGCAAAAGAATTTTTGGAAACGAGGTAAAATCGAGGTTGAGAGCTGGCAAGTTGTAAGTTTGGTAGTTGCGATGTTAAAGAAAGAATGGTCTCCTAGGAGGATCCGATGCTTCCGGCCACTTTTCGATCCCATCGCTGCTTGTGTATCATCAGCTGATTGCGTCACGATCCGGTTCTCTCTATAATCGTTCATTAAATTGCCGGTAATTCGTAGTTGCGGGGGTATTTTATGTAGTATAAATGAATGAACATTATCGTGCAACACTTTGAAACCGGTCCACGTTAAAGCCAATTTACATGTCCGCTGCATGTCGATCGAACTGCGTTGAAAAAAAAGCCAGATCGATCTGTCGCCTGATCGATAGTCTTGGGTCTTGGATGGAATCACAATATACATCTAATTAATTTAAACGAACCTGATAACGTAGACTCGTGCCGTTGCCTGAGTTGCTTCATCGTACCATACTATAACGTACAAAGTTGAAATCTGAATATAGGAGTGCATATGGTAGACTTTGAAGTAGTTTGAAGTACATACAAGAAAGTTTTCATTGGAATATTCGAAAAATTCGTTTCGCTGTTACCTGTTACCTGTTACCTGTTACCTGTTGCCCCCGACACCTATAAACTCAACAAAGTAAATAATTACCGTACCATCAGACATTCGATGAACGAAACGCGTACCTTGACTCGTTCAATTCAAACATCCTAACTAGTCGTCGAGTTATTTTCAATTTATCAACTCGTAATCTGCTCGCTGTAATCGCGTGGCGCCGAGAAACGCAAATGAATAAATGTTTAATTTACGCGTATATCCATAGATTTATCCATGTACATCCGATCAGCTCAACTCGAATACCTGCGATGATGATTATTGCTTCGAAAGGATCTATCGTTTCGATTACGCCAATAAATAATACAATTTAGAAGATTAATTTACGAATTCGTCAGATTCATCATTTATCGCTTAAACGATCGTTGCGTAACGTTTACGTTGTTTACGAAACATTGCCAAATTTTCGTCGTGGGAGGCATTGTAAAAATAGCATCGTGTCGGCCAACTTTTGTTTACCGACGACAAGTTATTTTGTCTAAGATGAACAGAAATCCAACGTGCTAGTGACCTACATTTACCAATCTTGGCCCATGTACTTGTTTATTCCGTTTTATTTATTTATTTATTTATTTATTTATTTATTTATTTATTTATTTATTTATGTAAGCGAGAGTAAGACATTGGTGGTAAGAGGGTGGCAAGATAACAAGAGTGTTAAAAGTTTGAATCGATTACGGATCGGTAGCGGTACACATACAAGGTATAGTTGTTGAGTCTGTCAACGTCATCTTACGAATGTATAAATTATAAATCAACCGTTCGATCCTTTGGTAAATTTACTTTTTACCAAAGATATCTTGGCTGACTGCACGAGAAAAGAATCCTCGTTCGAAAATGTTAACGAATTCGCAGCCTTCGCAAGATGTCGCAATCTTACATCTTTCCACTTTGCCAAGCTGGTTTCCAGTGACGAAATACTAGGCTCTTTTTCGTAAGCAATTTGGTGGTCGAATGATTACGTAACGCTATCTATTCGTATTCGCAGAAGGTCAATGACCAGCTACGAGAACGATACCGAACCGATACGAACCTATCCGATCGATTAGGGCCTCTCGGAGATCGAGAAAGGTCGGTTACCTTTCGAAAGCCCACGCATCAGTTTTCAGAGCATTGTGCACGAAAAAGAAACTATATACTTGTATGATAGATAAAAAAGAAAGAAAATAAGAGCACTGCAGTCGACTGAAGACTATAGAGCGTTAGACTCGATTGATTCGAGCGTAAAGTAATGCAAATGTACAGTCAGGGATCGTTGGTTCGGCACTTTTATCAAATTGCACCGTTTCCTTTGTATACGCGCAGTTTTGATAGTTTGATTAAAAATGAAAAGCAAGTCAGCTAGTATCATAGGATATAGTAGGATCGACAGTAAAAGGTTAAGTAAGATTCCCTGCTGCTACGAGTCGAACGCGAAATATTCATCGAGGCTTTCTTCCTCTCGACACACGAGTTGCGAAAGCGACCCATTTGCGACATTTCGGTATCGCGGTCCTTCAACGTCCGACAATGACCGATTTCGCTCGAGATCGATCCGCATCGCACACTTGCAGCCTCGACCAACTGAAAAGTTATGGACGAAAATTCAGGTAAACAACGAGAGTGCTTTCGAGATTATGGTTAACGAACAATGGTTTCTTTTATCGTAATTATTAACTTTGGAGATTAATATTTCCATTCCAATAGTTGTGTCTGTTTGATCCGAGATTCAAAGCTTGTCAGTTTATTTTCGAGGCTACATGTAAATCATCGAGATTTCAAGTATCCGTTCTTTTGTTTCATTACGATATACAATATACATAGTGTATAATAGGTGTATTTAGCGCGTGCGACTCAAACTACATCAATTACAAACTTGACCCGACTCAAGCCCTCCTCCTGTCAGCGAAAAACGATTTAAAGTATTACAACTTACAACTTGCCGTCCTCTCTTTTGACCAAACGGCTCATCAAGTTTGGGCTAGCTTTCACTTGGGTCCCAGTTTAAATGAATTAGCAACATCTCAACGATCTCTCGACCAACCCTCGCCCCTCTACCAAACCTCCAACCAAACACCAAGCGTTTACACATTTGTTTCGACCAACCCTGTCTAAAATCGCCACCGATTGTCCAATTGACCAATATTCCTTGGACAGATCGAGGAAGGATCGTGGACCGAGCATCGCGATCGGTTAGGGTCGCGCAGAACCGCACAAGAGTTGGAGTGGCCAAGCAGGAGGAAGAGGAATTTAGTGCAAATCGGAAGGAAGGGACGGATCTGACGTGACGGTGTGGCGTGTATCAGAGATCGGAGGAAGGGCAGAGGATAGTTGGCAGATCAGAGACGAGAGACGAGAGACGAGAGCCGAGAGAGGAGATAGGCCAGGGCAGGCGACAAACAATAGACGACGCATAACCCGGTGCTCTCGATGGGGTCGTAGTTGCGCGTATTTGTAATGTATCTGACGATGATAGGCCAGCACGGCAGGAAGAGATCGTCGTAGGGGGATCGCCATAGCTAATCGTACCACCCAAGGTGGCACAGATTGAGAGCTCCATCAGCACACATCCTCTTCTGCCCGGGCAAATACCAACCAGCGTCAAGCCGGGCCACATGTACGTAATATTTTTACATTTTACATTTTACATTTTACATTTTACCTTTTACATTTGACATTTGACATTTGACATTTGACATTTTACATTTTACATATCGATATTATTATTATATTAAACAACCTGGGTTACCGATGGTGCGCGTTTACGCTATCTACCCATCCCTCGAGGTCCTAGAAGCTCTCACAGTGTCTAGCTGGCTACGAGGACCTCGAAGTTGACGTTGACATTGACGAACAGGGCGACATTTCGACAGACTCCTAGATACATAGTTCCCGAACGAACCAAGGTTACTTTGGACTACTTGGAGGCTCTGGATGACGTGGATGAGTGTTTGAAAGCAAACGTAGGATGAAACCGACCATCGAGATCCTTTGTTCAACGCCAGACGACGTGACGCGACGCGACGCGACGGAACGATTCGGAGGAAATTGGTTCCTTCGGGAATCGACGCGTCGAAAACAACTCATGTTTTATCGAAATTGGCCAATGTTCTTTTTAAAATTCTCAACTATCGAACCATCGAGCACACTTTGACAGGGAATTGTCTCTTATCCTTTGGACGATAATAGCGAAAGTTGGCGTAGAAGCGTGTATTGTATCGCGTATCAGCAGTGAATAATAACGATAGTAAGGTTGTCGTGTCGTGCAGAACGATCGAGGGAGGATCATCTGCGAATAGGCGGAGGCCAGCACGGTGGACGATCAGCAGATCAGCGGAACCAGCGGGATCAGCGGGATCAGGCACCGTCGATCGAACCTCTCGACTTCTCCTCGTTTCGCGCAGCCCTCCCTTTCCCATCAGGGGCGCGACACGTACCAGCCGCTTCCGGCTAACCGGAAGTGACGCTCTATGCGAACGGCTGACCACCGTCTTTCCTCGTGATACCAACACCACGTAATCGCAGAGCCCACGCACGACACAGCCATCATGGAAGTCGCCACCGAACTGTACGTACCAACTACCAACGTCTTCTTTTCCGATCTTACCACTTGCTCTTACTCCACCTTACTTTCGACTCCATTTTTGGACGACGGCATGTAAACTAGCAATACCTGCCGCGGACGTTTGTTGTCGCCAATTGGACCGTGTTCGACGGCGAATCATTGGCCAATTTCCGTTACCCGTAAACCGAACCTACGTAATTCTATTACACGATAATACTCGTGCACTCGTTTCCAGTCGATAAATAAATAACGAGAGGTTACGGGATTTCTATCGGCTACTAGTTTTGCAAAAAATCTCGATAGCGTCGCACAGTGGTTGGCTATCGTAACATAAACAATCGAAAATTGTTGTTTCCGTTGACAAGGAGAGTCTATTTAATATGTTATTAAATATGTTATCGAGGCATAAATCATCGGTTGCGCGATGGACGGCAAGGGTCGCTAGTCTTCTTCGCCACGATTTTATCGCGTCTTTACGAGCGACCTCGCGTTAAGTAGGCCTAAACGAGAGACGATCATCCGTTGAAAGGCTTGTCCCCTCGCTGTTGACCTTGACTTGGCCAAACCAAGCCCTTTTACAGCCATTTCTCGACCAAATCCGTCCTGGCTACGCGCTTCAATTTTCCTCGACAACGAGATTTCCGTATCGCGTGCATAGCGTCGGTTTCAAGATCCACGAGGATCGTATTACTTGTAAGCATCGCCATCGGTCGCCGCAAACTTGCCTTTATTGAAATTGACCCTGGCTACAGAATTTCCAGCGACGACAACTAATCGCATCGGCAGCCTTTTTTTAATTGTTTCAGCTTGTCAAACTGAAGGCTGTCTATTCTAGTTTAACTCGACAAACAGTTGTTTGTAAGAAACGTTATTAAAGGTGAATCTACGATATTATTAGCTAAGCGTCCATTGGATGAATAGCGTGACAATAATAATACCATTAGTCGGAAAATAAGCTTATTTTATATCGTATAATAGTATAGTAATAGGTAATAAGCTGATTATTATACACTCTGGATTATATCGTATATCGTATATTTGAAGATTATAATAGTTGTAGCGGAATACCGAATTCACGAAGAATAAGAGCTGGTTGGAATGTTGGTCCAATGGAATGAAGATGCAATCCAACCGTATGTCAGATGAGTCGAGCGATTAGTTAATTCGATCGAATTCAAAGGTTATTCGCGCACGCCTCGGCAAAGACGTGGCTCGAACGTGTGCAGGGATTCTACTCGCATGTATGTATCTAACGACAGACCTGGCCGAAGTCATTGTCAATCATCGTGCTTTCCTGTATACTCGACGCGTCCCGACCTCCGTTGCTGGTGATACACAAATGAGAATAATACTTGAACAGCTCCATATCTTTCAAACTATTCATTTGTCATTTTCATACTTTTATTCTTTCGTTCTCGAGACTCTGTTATCGACTGCAGAGCCCGTTTTGGCTCGTTCCATGAATTTCTTTAATCTAGTCTGTGATTCTACGATATATTATAAAAAAAAGTTGATTCGATTGTTGTTTGATTAAATATGAATCATACGAGCCTATTTCGATTTAAATTGATCAGCCCTTCTTTTCTTATTTACCATGGACTGCTCGACTATAAATCTTTGCGTTCATCTATCGCGCGCATTGAAATTCCCAACTCGCGGCATGCAACAGGCTGACGTGCAATCGAATATGGATACGTTTATGGATGGAACAGAAATGCAAAACTCCGCGACGAAAGGGAGACAAAGAAAAAACTCGTTAAATTAATCAAATAGACTCGCTCTCTCTCTCTCTCTCTCTCTCTCTCTCTCTCTCTCTCTCTCTCTC